TGCAGTTGGTGCCATCTCATCATATGTTGTAAGGGTTGCAAATGCCAGTAAAGGAATTGCAAGAACTTAACGCATCAATGCAGAGAAAAGCCAAGGGCGGATGTAACCCCAAAGCAAACATGGAATCTGTCCACTGATGATGAAGACTGACAAATTTCGAAACCAGGGCAAGTAGAGGTTGAGCGGAAAGGCCATCTAAAAGCGATGGGAAGTAGGGTTGGGGCTCAGAGTTAGTGATGGCCGAGATAGGCTTCCTTTGGATTGCATTATGTTCAAATGTCTACATGTGATAGGGTTAGCGCATGAGCCTTGGGCTTGACTGTTGTGAACACATACGACCCAGGGCCTACAAACATCCATACTTGTAGTAGAAGGCCTGCTGGAAGGCTCTCTCACAAGAGACCAGGGCCCTGTGAGATTTGACATCCTTCCTCAGGGCCTGCAAGATGGAGCTGTTCTGCCAGGCCTTTGGTCGGGGTTCAGCCTGACTCATTTTCTCTTTGTATAAGAACAAGCATGAAGGAGGTTTCGCAGCCTGCTCACAGGTCCTTATAATATCAGTGGAAATAGTTGGTCCTGGCGAGTATTAACTGCTTTCAATTTTAACGTGAGGATTGTTATTTGCCCAGTTTTAATTTTAATTTATTTGAATTAATTTTGGGATGTATTTTAATTGATTGATTGCTTGTTTTTATGCATATTATATTATTTATATGATGTTAGCCGCTCCGGCTGGGGAGGGTGGGGTACAAATAAAATATTATTATTATTATTATTAGAATCCACTCACCCACCCACATCTACTCCAGATGGACAGTTTATGAGGGTAAGATATATGAACCACAGGTGTGTATACATGCATACCCTACTGCATGCCTACCCAACTAGGGAGGAGAGAGAAATTGATGTGGTTAGGTGTTTAGTGCAAACCTGCTTTATTCACAATTTCTGAAACAATGCATGAACCAAAACACAGCCTTCAATTGAATTTTGTGGTGCAGTTCTTCACTCAAACGATCTGCAGAAAAATATGTGGATGTCAGGGGGAAAACACGTATAAAATACATATATCAGTGAAAACAACTTATAAAATGCATTACATATGGGGAAATTGCTCGGGGAAATGTGCACATCAGGTAAAATGGCATAGAGAAATGTGTCCATTAGAAGAATATTTCACGAAAATGCTGACAAATTTTAAAGAGGATTTAAAAGAGAAAAAGGTGCAGCAAAAAATGCAAACTGCTGCAGAAATGTGGAGAACTGAATTTAAGACTGGGGAAAATGAGAAAGAGAGAAACAGAAATTGACAAGTCTGCCCATCCCTTGCCTCAACCTTTGAACTCCTTGGAGGAAATCTGGCTCACTCCAATCCAGGTAACAACCAGGTAGCATGCACTTACCTTCAGTTAGAGAGATGCATCCTGTGCCTTTAGACTATTCCTGATGACCTCTAAGGCATGAGATATTGAAGCTGGGAGGTGGGTATGGAGTCTGAGGCTTGCTCCTGATTTGGAAAGCCTACACAGCGGCATGGGGGGTGGGGAGTGTGAACTGGGCCTTACACTAACTCTGGAATATACACCATTATCCTTTTCACCAGAATTCTTTCCTGCTAGTCTAGCCTGTACCTGACACCCCCACTTCCTTCTCCAATCTTCGTATTCCATTGTGTAATGAACCACCCACCTCTGAAGGGAAAATACAATATCTTTCCATTGGCTGCTTTTATACTACACCGAGAGATAGATATACTAGCTTTTTATGAGGGTAAAAAGAAGGATCCGTTTTATTCATTTGAGATTAAGTCTTTGGTTTTATTTTTTGATAAGCATTTGGGGTTTCCCGGAAAGTACATTATTTACAGTAATCTCTAAAATTTAATTAGCAGGAAAGTGGAAAAAGCTACCCTAATTACTGTAAGCAATGTTTTTGCTATGTTTACATAATAGCTTGCAAACAGTGGTGGGTCTCAATACATTACAGCTGTGAGACAGAGAAAACATGATGCAATATTAATAAAGCAGTTTATCTGTATTTTTCAAAACAGGAACGAACTTTTTACTCAAGGGAGCATGGCAGGCAAAAAAATTAAGGGGGGAAAAGTGCACACCACCTTTCTCCCAATGTGCCGATATGATTATGTTACAGTGACTGATAATGAAACGGTTTCTCCAACTAGTCCAGGCTTCAACAATCTTATGCTATCCAGAACTACAGCTCCCTTCAGCCCCAGCCAACATGGCCATGCTGGCCAAGACTAAGGGAAGTTCAGACAGTACCAAGTTGGTGAAGAGTGCTTTACTCACTGTGCTTTCTATATTCCTTACTTACAATGGGTTGCATCTCTAAGTGCACAAATCTCTCTCATCGCCCCATACAATCTTCTTGCTTCACTCTGATTTGGTTCCCATTGGCTTTCCTTATTTCCTTCTCCTCTCTCGGCTGTATCCTGGGCGGTTCCTTAAAGGCCTGGTGGTACCAGGTGGCACAGTCAGCCAGTTGCTGATGGTCCTGTAACACCTCCTTGCCTCTGCCCTGCATCCTCCTTTATGCTGCTTCTACTTCTACTTTCTCAGTTGGCAACAATGCAGAATTCTCCTTCTCTCTCCCTGCTATTTCTAGGAAGATGCCCCAGACTTTTATAGGGTGGCAGTCGTGGGCCAGGAGTCAGCTTTGCCTGAAGAGCAGTAGCCTGAAGGGGGAGAAGGCAGAGTGACTCCACCTGCAGCTGCTTAGCATTCAGGGGCATAGAGAAGAACCAGCTGGCTGCAGCCTTTTTAAGAAGAGCTTCCAACAGCAGTTAGATTCTGGTACCAATGCTTGTAGTTCCTAGCCCTACCTTGCTGCTGCCTGCCCATCTTGACCCTTGATCATCAGATTCCCTGACCACTGGACTGTGGATTGCTGTTAGCCTGACCCTAGGACTGGACCTGACTTTGGGTGATGACTCTGCCTCCAGGCAAGTACAGCTCAGAAACTCTCCTGGTTGGCCTTCCACTCCACTGAGCTCTGTGTGTTGTGGCTCAGCGAAGAGGCTATGGCAGGCAGGAGTGAAAGGACTACACAAACCTGGAGACAGCTCTGGTTCCTTTTACCTGAAGCAGCCTCCCTCCTCAATATGCACTTCTCAAATCTAGCTGAACTAGATTGACCAATGGTCTGATTCAGTATAAGACAGCTTCCTATGTATTACTGGATACAGGTGGAGTCAGGAATTTTGTGTTCTGCTCTTGCTGGAGACAAACAATGAAGTTCTTATCTGGCTTCTTGTCTCATGTGTCCTTTAAGCCTTCCATGACAGAATCTACACTTTCAGTAAAAACTGGCACAGTCCCACGACACGTGCATTAAATGCCATTACTGATGCTGTATTCTAGAAATCTTACATTGCCAACACATCCACTGATACCTGACACTATTCTTGCCTACTGTTTATTTCCTCTGTCAATTTGCAATTGACTTCTCCAATACTAAACAGCAGTGCCCCAGGTTACATTTACAGTTTATCAGATGCGTGGGATGAACGAGTAGACTAGGGGAAATCATTTTTATGCATCTGACCTAACAGAGTATTTTGGTTGGTGGGCTCAGTAGCAAATGGAATCATGCATGCCAATATCAGTAAGCACCCTAAAAGGTAAAGGTAAAGGGACCCCGACCGTTAGGTCCAGTCATGGCTGACTCTGGGATTGCGGCGCTCATCTCGCTTTATTGGCCGAGGGAGCCGGCGTTTGTCCACAGACAGCTTTCGGGTCATGTGGCCAGCATGACTAAGCTGCTTCTGGCGAACCAGAGCAGCACACAGAAACACCGTTTACCTTCCTGCCGGAGCAGTACCTATTTATCTACTTGCACTTTGACATGCTTTCGAACTGCTAGGTTGGCAGGAGCAGGGACCGAGCAACAGGAGCTCACCCTGTCACAGGGATTCGAACCGCCAACCTTCTGATCGGCAAGTCCTAGGCTCTGTGGTTTAACCCACAGCGCCACCCGCTTCCCTACAAAGTTGTTGTAGGAGCTCTCAAATGCCATGTTGCTCTATTATTATTTTTAAAAATCATGGCAGGATGAGAGCTTCTCATTTTTGCTTTAGATTTTCTGCTGAGTGTGTTCCAAACATCTAAGTAAACAGATTGTGCTGCAAGAACTTCCAAGCTAGGTCAAAGGTTAGGAAATGGAACCAAAACTATTTTATACAAAAGCTTCTGCACCAGCCAACATTATCTCATCTTGATTATAATACATTTCAGTTTGTGACAGAAAGCATTTTATAAACAACTAATGTAACAATGTCAGAGGCAGTAGGTGACTCTCACTTTCTGCATGGAATATCCCTAAAAGTCTACCCCAAAGCTCTGTTGTTTTTTTGAGACTTCAGCAGTCTTGCCCAACCTGTTTCCAATTTTTTTTTTGAGGACTAGAAACTTGATCTTAGCAATGAAAACCTCATAAAAGTAAATTTCAGCATCTGCTAGATATTTCCATGTGTGCCCTACAGTCTCAGCAAAGTATAGACACAGTAACTCTTTTATATTTGACCTGCATTTTCTTGAGAGCCTCCCAAAAACTGCACTGTGAAACATGTGCTGTACATTGACTTGTGGTGTAGATCAAATACTTCCTTATGAAATGATGATTACTTTTCTAGTAGCTGCATGCAAATCAGCACTGGGAAAAGTGTTTACTCAGACCACACACTGGATGAAAAATGTGAAGGGGGGCATTGGAGGGTGGGGGTCCTCTTAAAGCAACTGGAATCTTTATATTTTATACATAGGTCACAAGAGTGTGTGTTTGTGAAATTAAACAGTAATACAGATATCATATAAACATAATTAATATGACAGTTGGCTCTTAAGTGAATTAGACTCTTGCAAGGGTAGAACTGGTTATTGGATTATATTTCATTAGCAAAAATAAGGGCGAAGCAAAACAGATCTGTCTGACATTCATAATTCGCTGAATTCATTAATTAATTCATAAGAACCCTCCAGTATGAATATATTGAAGACACTAATTTCTGGTTCTTCTGCTAATACCATTTACTTCTTTAAAAGGCAGTTGGCATGGTAGATGCTGCAGGAGTTTTTCTCATAGTTTGAAAAATCAGTAATGCAGACTGAAGGAGAGGATTCCTGGCTAAAGAATAAGGTGCCCTGATGTTCAAAGTGTGATCCTTATCAGCTATTCTGATTCATATGGGACTTCAAAAGTGTCTTAGTACTTATTCGCAAAGAGACTGAGGCTAAAGTATATTCTTGGCCAACTGCAGCACTGCTCTTTTTTTCTGACCCAGATGATAATTTGCTGGGGGTTTTTTCTTATCAGTTGTTTGTTCAAAAAACAGTGTCCTGAAACACTTCATCGCCTCCCCACTAATGAATTCCTTTAAGCAACTAAATAGGAATTCGTTAGTTACAAGTGGGATCTGCAACACAATGTTGCAGTGTAGCTATGAACCACCCCTAAAAATATCCAGCTAGCCACTAATGATGCTAACAGTAGTAGTCTTGGTATTAATTTATTGAAAGTTCTCCCCAGGTAGGCTCACCTGGTGCCAGTTTTGACATCATTCTGGCACTAGGTAAAACAGTTCTGTATTATCTGGGATTTGAATGCTGGTGTTATTGTTTTGGGGAATTTTCAATACGTAGATTATTTTGTGGTGATTGTGAAAGATGTTCATTGGATGGGGTATGTTTCTGACATGCTTACCAGATGTGACTATTTTGCTGAATTTTTTTTCCTATTGTGTGATATTTCTATTCTTCATTACCTTGAGATGTTTTCGTATAATTTCTTTCATAAAAATCCATATAATTAATATACTGTTTGGTTGTAAAAGGAACTCCTCAAAGCTGTTTACAGAAAGATGCCAGAACTCATAAATTTAATAAATATGAATCTATATCTAGTAGTAATTTAGGGCTAAGCTAAAAATACCCACTGCTTTAGGCATTTTTGGGCAGTCTTGACATGTGCTTCCTTCATTTGAATTTGTTTGCCTGCAACAACATCAGGATTGGCTAGGTAGTGTAATGACATCATCTCATTTCTTTTACAACCCCTGATTAGCTGGGATGATTTCTGCACCTTCTCTTTCCTCACTCGCAGTTGACAGTGATTTCCCTCAGTGACATAATCGCTTTGCAAAATCTGATGAGTTATGTGCTGATGTCACTGTGGTGAATATGATTAATCTAGGATGAGGAAAAAGCATTTAATGGAAGGGGTGGAATTAAAGCACCAGCAGGTAAGTGAAACTGTGGAACTGAACAGGTGCAGAATAAGCTGACCATTCTAACAATCAGAGGTTTGGAGAAAATATTCCCCTCGCCTTCTATAATTCCTTTTTGGGGACTGAAAATTGAGATTGAAAATATTCAGAGCAGCCTCATTGTTACTGCTGTTCTTTAGTAAAGTAGCTTACTTGAACAATGCATGAATCACAGTATTTAGTCATGATTTAAATGTGATCCTGGACGAGCAAGAAGGATTTATCCATGCAGAATTGCAAGCATCCAGGTGTAGAAGTTTCTTCATGAGACTCGGAGGATAAAATGCAATATTTACAGTTGTATACACACATTTTTACTTCCAAGCAACCAGGAATGCAGAAGCCCCTGCCACATTTATTTTACATTTCGTGATGTTTGCTCTCACCTCCAAAGTACTGTTTAGTAAGGTTACGTAATCACATGTCCACCTGCAAATTGCAAGGAGAGGAAGTTTGCAAGGAACCAAGAGAATGAATAATATTGGGAATAAAGCAACTTTTGATGAAGCATTTAATGATAGAAATGCAGCCTGCGCTATAGTAACACACTGCCTTTGGTTTTTATGAATAGATGGAATTCTTAATGAATAAATACTGGCAATGTAAGCACAAAGGTCTCCCTGTTACAATTTAGACAATATGCAGTGGCCCAAGTTTGATTGCTTCATTTATCTACTTCATTTATATTTCATGCTTTCTAATAACCCAAAATTTAGCGGGATGGCTTACAATAAAAAGCATTAAAAAGGTTGTTTGTTTATGCTATTGTTACTATTGATGGTATCAAATGTTTGCCCCATTCCTGCTCCCGCCCCTTGTTGGACTTTTTTATTGGGGAGGGAGGCAGCAGAAGATTTGCACTGCATTATGGGATAGTCCAAGGGCTTCTGTTCTCTATTGGCTGGAACACATCATTCTTTCAGTTTACAGAAAGCAGTATTTTAGTTAATGAAAACTTAAACCATTTTTTGAGGGGAGGGGAAGAAAATTGTGTATGGCTAGAAGAAAGCATCCCTCACATTAAAATAAATAAATAAATGGAATGCTGGTTTAGCTTTTGGCAATGGATCTGTAGATCAGATTTTCCTTCAGGCAATACATGAATTCAAAATGTATGCCATGTGATTTGCACAATTACTGAAGGGGAGGTAAAGAGCCAATATTGTATGGAAACCCTCTTATGTGGAAGTTCTTCCCCTGCCTATGGAAGTGCAGAGAATAACTGATATTTTTTTAGTGGGCAGACAATGGCAGCCCACACACTCTTCTCACTAAATGTTGTAGAAGCCCAGTGATAAGAAACAGTGCAGCTCCACCAATTCAAACAGTCACCCTGTACCACTTCTTATGGTAAAGCTTGCATACGGACTCCGACGAAATCCTGGATCCTGAACCGAATCGGGAAAGTATGGGTTGATGCAGGATTCAGCTGGAGAAGGCTGAGGCTGTGTCAGATTGCCTCAGGTTGGATCAGCTCCATACAGAGTGATTCTGGGCTTTCAAAACAGGGGTAGCCTGGCAGAAAGAAGAATGGGGAGAAGGAGACACACGCAGGCAGCCTGCATACATCTTCTACTACCTGCCACCTGATTACATATTTAATTGGGGTTGAAAATCATCATTAGACACTGTGCAAGGCCACTGAATTAGTTGGAGCCTCGCCCCCAGATCTGTGTCAGATTGGCTCCAAATCACCTCAGCTCAGGGCTGCTGCAAAGAGCAGAATCTGCCCCCCAAATCGGAGACGGGATGTTCACAGCCGTACTGGAGAGGACATTGGAAAGGTGAGGGGCCATCACAGAAAAGACTCTCTTCAGTTTCCATCTCAGAAGGCAGAGATACCTGGAGGAGAGCCTCAAATGATTATCTCAGTTAATGAACAGACCGGAATGAGAGAAGACCCTCCATGTAGAGCTTTAAAGGTTAGAACCACAGAAATGAAATGGGAGCCACAGTATTGTGGACTAGTGACAGCTTTTGAACTTTCTCCCAAGGCAGAACCACGTAAAGTGCTCTGCTGTAACTCTCAACTTGAAATTTCTAAATCATGGGAAGCCATGAGTCTGCTGCCTGTATCCAGGAGGGCACCATAGCTGGAACATCGGCTGATAGAAGTCACTCCATGCCACTAAGTCTACTTTGGCCTCATGTGACAGTGAATCTAAAAGAAGCAGACTACAGTCCTCTGCTTAACTGGTTGAGCAATGTGTGCACAGCTGAACCATCCATCACCAGCGATCTTCTCGGGATTACATTTATTGGTCCTCATCAAGTCCATTACTGCTCCCAAAGAGCGGTTCAGCACTTTTTCCGCCTCACCTGATTCAGATTGTAAAAGATAATCTGTATGTCTAAAAGATGTTTTTTGCCCATGTTATTTGTCTACATAACACTTGGCACGCAATTTGTATCCCCAAGAACTGGTTTATACATTTATTTGGAGTGGTGGGAGGCAAAAACACATTATACAGTTTATAACAGCTGATACGCTTTAATTGGGATACCTTTTCTTCCAGGAAAAGATTATGTGATGTTTGTGAATGACTATTACGTTGAGGTCTTCTTTACTAAATTTCTATTCTGCCCTTCCACCCAAAGGAGCCTAGGATGGCAAACAACAAGGGATGAAACATTAAAAACAGATTAAGAATGATTCTAATACAGATGCAGTCTGGGAAAGATCTGGGCAGTAGCTCTCTGAGGTTTCAGATAATTTCTGCCCCAACCACTGCACCCTCCCTGGGAACTTCAGAATGCAAAGTTTGTGCTCTGCTGCTGAGCTACAGCCCTTCCCTTCAAATCTGTCGCAAAAATCTAAAAAAACTAAAGAAAAATCTATGTTTTGGGTTGCACATGTGAAATTTTTGAAATTTAATAAAACTATAAATTTAAAAAAACCTGGCCAGAAAAGCTGCTCAAAAGACCCAGTAAAAGTCATCTAATTAATGTCCATATTTTACAGGTGAGGAACAAGGAGGTTAAGAGATAAGTGAATAGCACAAGACCAGTCATGCCATATATATATATATATATATATTTCCTTTGCAATTTCGCTTGCTGTTAAACTTTTGGGAGTTATACCATCCAGAGATGTCCCAAAAGGTCCCAATTTACCTTCTGTCTCCCCCTGGTTTACTTTATATGTATGCTTTAACTTCTATATGCCTGACTTTTCGGAACGGAGGCAGACCGCAAACAATTCAGATGAAATGAAAGATGACGCTCAGTTGATGCCTTACTCGGTAGGGGCAGTTTTGCAGGAGGAAACTAAACAGGGGCCTATTCTCCAATTCCCAGTTACAGCTGCGTGGGAAATGCATGCAGCCTAATGACTTTATGGGGATTACAAAAGCATAAGTGAAGGTGAAAGGAAGCTTAATTTCTGAAGTCTACAGCTACCTCAGGGTAATGAGTATGTAAACAGCTGCGAAACTGCTGCAAGCTGTTCCTCCCGAACAGAGCTTCATTAAAATTGCAAAAGGGAGTTACAATTTTTACAACATTAATCATATAAAAACATTGAATATATAACAGCTGGGTGGTTATTGTTTTTTTCCCTTTTTTTCTTTCCCTTTCCGAAGTGTACCCTCTTGAGGGTAACACTAGTAAACTGTTCCTGACACTTTGGCATCACTGAGCTTCTTGGGTAGCAGGAGAAGGAAGTAGCTAATAGCTTAATTCCTAGATGTCAGCCCTTCCAGACACAACAAGTCTTTAATGTACTTCTTCAAACACATGTCCTAGTCAATTACTTCAGAAAATGTGAGAGCAGATTCCGTCTCTGTGGAAACACTTCTCTGTTTAAATTGGTAGTTTAGCAATGTGACACTGCAGACAAATAATGATGAGTGCCACCCACCCTTTGAACTTCCGCTGGCAATACCCTTCAATTTTGACAATCGCCTGCCTTCTCAAATATTTGTTGGGGATTTTTCTTCTTCTCCTCAAGAATAGAGATGTGCCTTGTATTCTACAGTGCCTCCAAGCGCAACAACTCCAGCTTCGTCCATTCCGATACCTACATTTTTATTGCAATAAGTAGAGTTGTGCACAGTGCTTTGGGGCAACTGAAGGCCTGTTTGATCATCACACTTGAACCTGCTTTCCCCAAAACATGCCCCCCTGTCTCTCCTCACGCATGGCCACAGGTTCCCATTGCAGTTTAGATCTGCAGTTTGACTTACAGTACTATTTCATTCATATTTGGGATGATCCTACAATGAACGTAATTATGAGTTGTCATGCACAGCTGCCTGTCTTCCTTTTAGCCTAACATTCCAGTCATAGGAATAGCTTAGAATGCTATGCCAGTCACTGGTTGCTGTTTGGGTGCTGTTTCAGGGGTTCCCCAATAGTTTCAGAAAGAAGGGTCTTACAATGGCAGAAGAGTTTATCCCTTTCTCCATCCCCCTTTTAAATTTTCTGGAGGCGGACAAATGTTATTCCCATCTTCAAAAGGGAGAAAAAGGAAGACCCAGGTAACTACCGACTGGTGAGCATGACATGAATACAAGGAAAGGTCCTAGAACAGATAATTCAACAGTCAGTCTGTGAGCATTTAGAAAAGGATGCTGTGATACTAAGATCCAGCATGGATTTCTCAAAAATAAGTCATGCCAGACCAATCTGATTTCTTTTCTAATTTTTTTGGATGGAATTACAAACTTAGTGGATCAGGGAAATGCTATGGACATAGCGTATCTTGATTTTAGTAAGGCTTTTGACAAAGTCCCCCATGATATTCTTGTGAGGAAGCTGGTAAAATGTGGGTTGAATGATGTAACTGTTAGGTGGATTTGTAGCTGGTTGACTGACCGAACCCTGATGGCTTGGACAGCTCAATAGCAGCATCAATTACACTCACTCTCACCTTGTTCTCGAATCAATCCCTGTTCCTACATGTGCCTATGCACTGTGTAGACAGAGAGCTTCCCGGTACCAGCCTCTATCCAATCAAAGGGCTCGTGCACAACCAAGAGGCAGGCTGAGATGCTGAGGCCCACCTGGAAGTGGACTAAAATTCATTGTTGGTCCCTGACCCAGAGCTTGCAAAACACTCATAATGGTTTGGATGCTGGAGCAGGAGTTGGGGAGATCATTGTTCAAATCCCCACTTGGCCATAAGTTTGCTGAGTGCCCCCAGGCCAGTCACAGCCTCTCAGTCTAACCTACCTCACTGGGTTGTTGCGAGACTAAAAATAGTGGGTGCAGGGAGGAGTACCATACATGCCACCTTGAGCTCCTTGGCAGAAAGGTGGGATAAGTATATAATGATGTATAAATAATAATTTCCTGCCTTCTCAACTTTCTGTTGCCCCTTTCGTCAACTGGGAAACCCAGCCAGATGGGAGGGGTATAAATAATAAATTATTATAAATTAGTATTATACCTTTGTGGGTTGCTTCTGGCACCGGCAATCTATATGATTGTCCATTTGCCTGAAGACAGGTGATATCGAACCTCAAATGAAGAGTGAATGGGGACATACACAGCAAGTAACTATACTGCCTTCTGCTGATTTTCTTTAAAAGCAGGGAGAATATAAAACCTCCTCATCACAGGGATGCTAACAGCCCAGAGCAAGCTAAATTTTCTTTCTCAGGGAGAGAGCTTCTGCTGAAAACTTTAAATTGGAAGGTATAAAACTATAAAACTGCCCAACTGCATTTAATGATAAAAAAGTAAATGGAAATAAACCAAGGTTAATGCGTCACCTATAATTACATTTCCCACAGCGAACAGGAAATATGTTCCTACTGCTGGATGCTATTTTTATTTACTAAAAAAAAGAGAAGTCCATTTTGTTTCTTCATCATTAACAGAGCCTCTAGACTACAGACAGCTGATGGACAACTTCCTTCTTCATCTCCCATAAGCATTAGAGGTCAGTGGTATGGTTTAGATTGACGAATATAGAGGTCTCAGTTCATGGGGCCAGTGCTAGTAAAATGCATAATGTAAACAAGTATGCCAGACTGTTTTTGCAAAGAGGGTACAAACAAACTCAGCGGAGAATATATAGCACAGAGAACATTGAAAATGCACAGAACTGGCATCAAATAGACCAATATATTCTCTAAGGCCACCGGATTAAAATTTAGAACTAAAGGACAGTGTGGGTCTGTGATGGTGGCTCTTTGAAGCGTTAGTGTTCAGCATCAAAAGGTGTCTGTATGCCTATAGCACTGTAGCCATCTGCAGCACATCTTTCACATGAGGAATGGCATTTAAGATGAGGAAAATCTAAAAAAAAAAACAAGAACAAAACACCACACAATATTGTTACATGCTCCCTGCGTTCCCCAGGCGGTGAGAAGCTCCGGGGTTTGGCTTCCTTTTTGCAGGAGAGATCACTGGAGACTTGTTTTTGAAATATGTGGTTTATTTCCAAGTACACCAGCAGAGCATTGGGGAAAGCAAACAGCACAGCCCTCCTAGCAGGCAGTAGAGCTGCCAGCCCTCATCAGCAAGACAGAGACATATGAATCCCCACAATGTATCTAGCTAGCCCCCCACTAGGGATGGTGAATCTGTCAGTTTGGGTTTCCCATTTTTCCGATCTCGGCTTCACCTGTCCATATTTCAACCTCAGTTTGCATTTTTGGGAAAAGTCCCCATGAAAACTCATCAGAATTTTAGCGAATTCCTCCAAATGCATACATTTTCCCATGCAATTTTTGCCGGATATACACTTATTTGCAAATGCATTTTGCTCTGATATAATGCATTTGTGTGTGTGTTATTTTCACTAATAAATGCACTTCTATGCACACTTTGTCTTAGTTTGTGCATTTTTCTAGATGTAGCCTGGCCTGAGAACTGCAGTGCAAAATCCAGGCAAAGTTTTGAAGGATGGCTGTGTTGTTTCAAAAAGTGTGAATTGGGTAGGTTTGCCTTTAAATGTGAACTGAATTGATTTCTCCAACTCTGTCCTTAGCCTTCTCTTGTTGCTTCTCTCTATCTCATCTTTACTCTGTTTCTTGCTGTTGCTTAGCCTGTTACTCTTATTAGTTATTAATTTATATGCCACTTAATCCCAACCCAGGCTTCTTAGCGGTTTATAAGGATGAAATACAACCAAACATGCAAACATTATAATGTAAACATCCATATGTGAAATATGCAATAAAACAATCCCATTGAAACAACCCCGTAATTAAAAACAGTAATTAAATGCAGAAAAACTGTCTAACTCAAAAAACCTCCCTATTCCTGCCTTTCTCCTCCACATCCATTCCCTCTGTGTGTGTGTGTGTGTGTGTGTGTGTGTATACACACGGAATATCATTCACATAGAGGTTAAGTTATTTAACAAATCGTGTGTCAATACTGAGATCAGATGTAGGCATTAAGTAATAGCATGTTCATTGTCTCAGCAGATACTCCAGAGATTGCCAACAGTTGATGGCAGAGTCCTGGTCTTGCTCTTGTTTCTGATGTGCTGAATAAAAATGTTTCTCAAAATTGTCTTTGTTTGGGGCATTATTATTTTTTAGTGTTTTTCCATGAACTCAATGTTCCAGATTTTCTTGTACCATGCCTTCAGTGTCAAATTAGCAGCTGTCTTCCAATTCTGAGCTAAATCTTGTCTGGTGACCACCATAAAAAGGATGGATAATTCTTTAAACAATAAATCCTGCAGTGTTTTTTTTAAAGAATCTATCAACATCCCTGCTCTGCACATTTTGATTCAATTTCCTTCCTATAGGTTTCACGCTTGACTAGGCAGGATGAAACTATTTTGATAATTAACCTCTTAAAGCTACAAATGATACATTTATCAGAAGTTCCATCAAAAAATTGCTA